CCCCCCCCCCCCCCACCACCTTGCAGAAACAGAAATGGAACATTTGTATTATCCTTTATGATCGATAACTGTTCTTTTTAAAAAATATATATTTAACTGGTTTAGTGTCATTACCTTTCCACAGGGAATTCTGAAAGCAATAATTTTCTAAAAAGAAAGCGATCTCTGACATAGATTTTTATATTATAATTATTGTTATGTGATATTGCATTCATTTATTAAGGGCATTTACTGTCTTGAATGTAAATGATGTAAATGCTGAAAATATAAATGAGCAAACATTCACAATATTGCAAGCTATATCATAGCCCGAAAACAAGATTAAAATTGACTTGCCTTGAAGGCCTGGGCTAAAATAAAGTCCTTTGTGTGCAGAATTAGATTCTCATCCAGTGGAAACCCTCCATATTCACTGAGGCAGAATATTCTAACACTAAGACTTCTTGGTTCTGACAAACAATTTCTGGCCATAAATGTCCAGTGGTATAGGGACCTGGATGGAAAAAGCAGCTGCTCGTGCAGATCTGTGTGGAAGAATGTAGTCCTTATAGTGCCAAGGATATAAACCACTTGAGGTTTTTAAGATTAAAACCAGGCGTTTACATTGAGCTTAGAAACAGGCTAAGAGCAATGGAATTTAAAAAAAAAACTAGTGAAACATGTTCCATTTGAAGTTAGTGTATATAAACAGGGAGAAAAACCTACACTCACACGCACTGATGATGTTACCTAGTCAGATGATGAAAGATCTACAAGCAAACAACCAAGCTCAGAGAGCACAAAGGACTCCAAAGTTTTCACTTCAAATTGCATTGCAAATGGTCTTCAAGGGCAACCCTACAGCAACATACAACAGGCCAAGTAAAATGTTTAGGCTACCAGATCTGGACTGTAAAAATTCATATAGTCACGAGATGGCACCAGAGGTTTCAGTTATCTGTATCTTTTTGCTGCCATTAGTGGTCATCTGGATTTTTGCAGCTGAGATCTGGTAGCCCAAAGCATTAAACACAAATGGTAATCAAGCTCTCCCTGTTCAGGAGATGATACATATATATATCCTGGAAGGGGCTTCATGCGACAAAAGCCATTTTAGCCTTCAAACTCAAGGCCGGATCAAAGCACCTGTCCAAGCCAAAAAATCAGTTCTTTGGGAGTACAGCCCAAGCACACCTACACTCAGGCCTGCAGCAGAAGGAGATAAACAAGCAGCTTCTTCCAACTGCTCAGCTAGGTTGACATGGCCTATACATTTGATCAATAAATAAATAAATGGCCCTCTGAACCACAGACTAGCCCAACGTATTTTTGTCTAGCTTGTTATGTGAATTTAGCTGGAATGGTTAGTTTGTAGTTAAGTACATTGTGAGAGCCTAAGCAATCAGATTAAGTCTGTAAAGATAGCCCACGTGGAAGATCTCCTTTTAAAAATATCTTTCCTAAAAGTAGAAAGCTGTTGTGGTAATCAAAGAAACAGGACTAGAACCTCTCCCCCTGATATGGTTGTCTACTTGAAGAAAGTTTATATGAGGTAGCATTCAAAAGTTGTATCCCTCACACATCATTTGAAGTTATCCCATACTTTCTACCATCTTATACTGGCTTGATGGTACTTGCTTTTGGGGGTGGGTGGGTGGAGATGGCTATTTGAGGTTTTCTTGCAAGTGGGAATATTTGTTTCTTCCCTCTTACGAAGGAGACAAGGCTAGCTCTGCCAAAGCCAAGTAACCCTAATTGCAACCTCAGTATATCCTAAAGTCATGTTATGGTCTACCGTTCTTCTCTTAAGCTGAAAGCTCCCTTTCTTCACTTTGCTGGATACTTCTCTAGTTTGACACTTTTTCTTAAAATTCAGCCCATCGACCAAAATCTGTCCCTTTCAAGGGATGCCAAGTTGGGGAAGCACACTCCTTGTCAAACAAACACTAAGGAGCAGTAAAAGGGCTAGATCAAGAGGTTGTGTTTCCCCAGGAATCCTAGTTGGGAATTCATCTTTTCTTGCTTAGCTATTGCTGTGTTTATTTCTTTTCCTACAAACATTTCAGGAGCATTTTCTTAATCAAGCACAGAAGAGCTTTTTGAGTAAGAGCAGAAGTGGAATCACAGTTTCCAGCTGGTAAAAAAAAAAAAAAATGAGATTGCCTTCTTTTGCCTCTCCTTCTAAGAAAGCCCTGACAGTTCTCCTTTCATCTCCCTCCCTCTCATCTTCATTATCAGTGCAAGTTAATCAATCCCTGGATGAGCAGAAAATGGGCTGTGGATCGTATGATCAGCTCCAATGAGAGAGCAAGGAAAGCAAAAGAGAAAACACCGAAAAGAAACATCAAAATAAGCCAGAAAAAAATGGAAAAGGAAGAATGAGGAACAAGCAATTAGGACACTGCTCCTCACCCACCCTCTATGGCCAAGAAGCACTCACATGAAAGTTGATCATTTCTCCTTCCGATCCCATCTTTTGGCTCCCCAGGTTTTCTGCTCAGTCCTCTTGAACCCACACAAGAGATCAAGTCTCGGTAGCCTTCTGGATTCTCCACAGCATTTGCTGGGTGGGAGGAAAAGCACAGTTGCTGGAACAGACCTGCTATTCATTTGCCTGAAGTCCAACTCTTGCCTTGGCTGCAGCATTGGAATGGGGGAGGAGAAGAGAGACTGGTGGTGGTGGAGGCAGTGGCATGCAAAGCCTTTATTGTCTCCAAGATGCTGAATGGTCCTCCTTGTTAGGTTACTCATGACTACATGTATCTGGAGTTTCTGGATCCAGCTGAGTCCTATGAGGTCACTGGGATTGCAACTCAGGGACACCTGCAAATGTACCACTGGGTTCATGGCACAGACCAAGCCAGCTTTTGGCACAATTCGTAAAGACAGGCTGCAACTAGAGGGAGTTGGAGTGAAGATGGCATAAGGTTGGCCCTCTTGGTGTGTTTCTGTTATACTGGGCAACTGTTAAAAAGATCAAGAGACATCAGCCACTAACAGCAAGGAATCACTTTCCAGCTCCAGATTCATAATATTGGGACCAGTTCCTTCCCACCCCAAATCTGGCTCTGGAATCATACAGCAAATTATCACGTGCTGAAGTTCATAGGTAGAGCCAGCCGTGACCACAGGGTGTCATCGCAAAAGTCAAGATGGCAGCCCCCATGGTGAGATTGAAGCTCCGCCTGTTTTTTATCTAAATAAAAAATAAATAGATAAAAAATAGATGAAGCTTCAAATGCATCATCGTGGCTGCCATCCTGGTTATTTTTTACCATACCCTGTGGACACCCGTGGTTAGAAACATTCAGAAGCAGCACAATCAGTCCTGCCCCTTCCCTGCTCTCTCTTAAAATTACCTTTTCCACCCAAGAGGGAGACCTAAGGAGAAGATCTCAGTACAAGGCTTTATGTGGAGATGGTTCATTTGGGCTGGTTGCAGGGATCCAGAATCCCAAAGGGAAGTTTTGCATTCAGCCCTGCTCCCTAAAATTATTTCACTGGAGACCTGCATGAAAAGCTCTTACTGGTTGGGTTCATGTGTCACTAAGCCAAAGAATATTTGATCATGGTCTATTGAATAAACCAGTATTGGCTGGGTTTGTAGAACACTCCAAGTCACAAACCATGACTGAGCAATCACAATGACAGCGTTTCACAACTGTGATTTGGTATGTTCTCTTGATCAGCTTCCGTGGGCTAGGGGCTTTCTTGCAATTTCAGCTGTTACTTCTTTCCTGTATTTATGATGGGTATTCCTTCAACATACAGGATTTCCAGAGTGGCTTCCATTAAAACCAAAATAAAGATAAAATGCATTGTCAAAATATCAGGCACTAACCCTCGCAGCACCAATAAATTAAAAAACAAAGCTAGCAGATTACCCAGAAACATATCAGCAGAATCTCATTTAACTGTCCATTAAATAGTTAAGTTTAGGTATTATTTTTTAAAGACCCTTACTTGAGGCTCAAGTGGGTTTTTTCAAGGTGAAGGTACAACCCCACGGGTGGCTTAGTTTAGCCCTGTAAGGACAAAGTCACTGTCCCAGAGAAGCCAGGGATGAAAATCCTAATATACTTTTGCTGTAGAGCTGTATAATAATTATGGGTTTGTATAATCACTATAAATAAGGTCAGAATTGAATTAATAAGTATGCATAGCCAAATGGTAAGGTTATGGGAAACTAATATATGTATTTTTATTCTTATTATTTGCATAGTTATTCTAGGCCTCTGACTTCAAGCTGCAAATCCTATAAATTACCATTTATTATCATATTATTTGCATTTTCGGGAGCCGGAGAAATATTTGACTGGCTATTATGTTGAAAACAAAATCTTTGAACAAAAAGTATTTTCGGTTTGAATTAGTTTAGTTGATGTAGATCATGTGTGTTTAATTTCATGTCCATTACATCGTGATATTTTTTAGGTTTAAATGCTTTTTTTCTGGATCTTTCAACTTACATTGGAGCTTAGTCCCAGAAGACATACTTTTAGGCAGAAGTTTAAAAAGCATGATTGACAGCAGTATCTGATGAAGTGAGCTGCAGTTCACAAAATAAAATTTGCCCAGTTCTGAGATGGATTATTGTGAAAAAGAAAAAGAGATTAACCAAAGAATGTCTACTTTAAATAAAATACAGGATGTGTGTCTATTCAGAGTTTATATCTGTAAAAATATAAATCACAGTCTCAAAGTGCTTTCCGCCCCATAATATAGGGTTGTCTCACGTTGTCCTTCAAATATTTGAATAGTGTAATCACTCCAATCAGGCCCCACCCTCCTCTTTTCATCCTTACTTCTCCAGGCTAAAGCTTTTCTCGCTGCTAGTCACCATCAGCTTTCTTAAAGTACAAGCCTAAAACTGAATGTAGTATTTCCCATACAGTATAGAAAACAGCAGCACCAAGCTGATCTTGGTTGACCTTGAAAAAGCTAAGCAACATTGGACCTAGTTAATAATTGGATGGGAGACCACCAGGAAACCCCACAGCTTTAGATTGGAAAGTCCAGAAAATACCCTGGAAGCAGGCAACAGCAAACCACTTGCATATTGTTGCCAAGAAAGCAAGATGAGTATGTTCATGAAGTCAACCACAGTCTGCTCAATTCAAATGAGGCTTTTCACTCCTGAAAATGTATGTATGTATGTATTTAAATTTATTATAGCTGCCCAACTCCAATGGACTCTGACTGGTCCAGAATAAAATAGAGCTACTGTATTATTCCCCTGACTTTGAAATTGTGCTTCTCTCTATTAATTTGGCATATAATCACATTAGACTTATTTGCAATCACATTACACTACTGTCTTATGTTCAGTTTCTGTTAGAGTTGCATTCTGGGTGATCACAGGCACCCCTGACAGGTTTTGTCATCATGGTAATAATTTTTTCAGCTGTTGCAGTCCTAGAAACTGTTGCCATCCAGTCTTGGATCACCTAATGCATATTTGATGTTTAGGGAAATGCTCATCCAGAGTCCAGCTATTGGGATATCTCAAATATCTTGTCTGCTTCTGGTTCTTTTTAAAGACACTCTATGGTTGATGTTTATTTTCTTTAAAATGTTCTTCAAGAAAGTGGTGAAACAAAGATTCCTCTAAGATGGAAGTAATCACTGGATGATGGATAGATCTCCAGTGGGTATTACTAATGCTATAGGAAAAAATAAATAAAGAGCTTGCACTACGAAATTACTTCAAAAACCATGTCCCCTGCAAAGGAATATCACCATCCCGAAATGTCTCACTTTTATTACAACAAATGCAAAATTTAAAAATGGAATAAAGGTTCTAGTTATTAGCTTTTTAAAGCAGGATCCTCTGCTTTAAAATCCTGCCCAAGCTTCTGGCACAACAGTGGTGGTGCTGGGGATCCCTAATATCTTCATGCACAGAATATCAGAGCAGAGGAATGCCATTGCCTCATCTCCCTAAGAAATTCCCAGGGAGGATGTTGAAGGACAGCCAACAGCGTCCTTCTCCATCCAAGGAGGCGTAGTATTGGTGGGAAAATCTGGGAGGCGATTGGGGCATTGACTTCTGAAATGCAATCAGCCAGGCTCCATCTGCCTGGTCAGTGATAGAGCCAGTGATGTTTTCACACGCAAGGCTAAAATAAGTTGACTTATCCTATTGCTCTGCACTATCCACTCACATATCCTGTCAAGTGCTCCAGCTTGACCCAGCGTCCTTGGGAAACCACCTAGTAATCCAGGCTGAGTTTGCATTTTCTCCAGTTCTGTCATCATGACATGCAAAATTATGTGATCCGGTACCAAAACACCTTTACCAAGATACTGCTTTGCCGATACACCAATATCACTGTTTGCCCTGATGTTCTGTAAAAATTGTCCACTGGAAAGGTCCTTGAGGCCAAATCTCTTAGCAACCCTCTCGCACACAGTACCTTTGTGAGATCCTGGAGGACCCAAGACTACAGTTTGTAGAAGCTTGGAAGCCATTGTAATCCCCCACCACCCCTGGACATTGAGGAGGAACGCTTGCTGCATGGTGGTGAAAACATGGATGGCTGAATCACTCTGCACTATCACTGAGTACAGAATGAGGAGGTAGAGGCCAGTAGCATTTATTAATGTCCAGATAGGGTGGCTTCTTTCTGATACATTCATATAACCAAGTCATTCAAATATGCAGGGCATGGAAGTCTGGGAATCAATTGATGTAGAAGGATATTTGCCATGCTGTAGCATTTGATAACTCATTGTGTATTTACTCAGCTGATAGGGAGCCATAGATCATGTCTGGTGAATGCCAAAGTCCAGCTTTGTCAGACAAAGAGTTCCTCTTTTGCCAGAATGAAATTGCTTCAGGTACTGTGTGTTCCTGCAAAAATATTAAGCCCTAGAAAATTGGAGGGGTGAGGAGAAAACCCTCTACCGCAGTGTTTCTCAACCTTGGGAACTTTAAGATGTGTGGACTTCAACTCCACAGAATTCTGGAAGTTGAAGTCCACACAACTTAAAGTTCCCAAGATTGAGAAACACTGCTCTATAGTGTTCTCAGGAGCACTGAGAGCCAAGGTTTCTACCACTGGGTCAGCAGGTCATTGTTTGGAATGGAAAAATCTCCAAGAATTGTAACCACCACAATAGTCCACGGGAGTGGGAAGGCATCCAGGCGGCTTGAATTCAGGAGGAATGCTTGATGGGGAGTCAGTCAAAGTGTGGTAGCCACACTGTCACCAGATCTGTCCTAATCATGACCACTCGAAAAATGTATCTGGAGTCAATATACACATAAACAGATTGGTTGGATTGCAACTTTACAGCCATGGAGCAATGTAAACATTTCTGCAACTTCTGCAGAAATGCAAGATGGGAATTTTCCAGATTCCACAGCTAAAAAGAGAACATATCTGTAGGTGCATTTTTCCTCTGACTTGACTGAGGAGGCACCAGTGACTTATATTCCCATGCTGGCATTTTGTAATGGGATTTCTTCAGATCAGCAGAGGGTTTCATGGCCAAGGCAGTTATTCAGCTCTTCCACATCCTCTTCTTGGCCTGGAAACAGGATGGCCAGATTTAATGTTGGTGAGCAGGAGACAATAACATGGGGAGTTTGTAAAAGTACAGTAAATGAAATTTTCTCACTCAAGCAGCAGAAATGGGGACCAGTTAAGGATGTGAATGGAGGATTGTCCCAGCACGTGGGACCACTGCAGTGAGCGGGTCATCCATCAGCAGGGGGGACTTTTCTTGATTAATATTGCTGCTGCTGCAATAGATATGCTTGTGCAATTGGGTTGAGCACGAGGGAAAAATAGCCCACTGGGCAAATCAATCACCATGCGTCTGTGGCAGAACTCCTGTGGCAATTCTTGTTTGTTCATGACATTGGCGTAAAAAGCAGTTTGTAAATAGGAAATCCAAGGGCTGGGAATGCTGCAAGGCCATGCTTGTGTTTCTGGAATGCTATTTCACACTTGAATGATCCCTGGAATGGAAGTTTTTTAGTTAGGAATTCCCTTCACATTAGGTGGGTGCAGATGACTTTTAGGACTCTGATTTCCTTCATCTTTTTCAGCCCAATCATTTTTTAGCTTGCAAAAAAGTATTTTGCAGCAGAGGTACATAGTATTAAATGAAAAGTTATCATTCCCATATGTTAATCTTTGGCCACAAAAACAACAGGAGCCTTATGGCACCTTAAAGGCTATAAGATCAAATTGGAAGCTGTTGTAATTCATCTTAACTGCCGGTGTTACATAATTTGCATACTATTTTTATATATACACTAGGTGCCAAGTGTATATATAAAAATAGTAAAATGGCTAAATAGTTTATTTTACAACTGTAATCGGCGAAGATTAACCAAATGAGAGTTCTTGATGTATGAGAATGTAAAAAGTCAGTAGGCATTTAAAGATACCACAACTTCAAAGGTTGTTACATAAGTCCTTCTTTTCCTTCTTAAATTTTCTGCTTTTATTCTTGTCCATTTTTAAATGCACTTTCACTGTCCACCCCTGCAATCTAGCCATCTTAGGCAAATCAATAAATATAGACATGACATGATTTGTTGATGTCCCAATCAAGCCTAATGGACATTTATTTGTTTGTTAAATTTATACAGCCATCCATCTCACTTCCATGACTGGGCGGCATTTTGTCTTACGACAATTATAATACAATGTGAATGTTTGGCCCATTGTCCCTTCTGCTACAAGGTTTTCTTTTCTTTTTTTTCCCCTTGGGGCATAGTAGTGTGGTATAGACTGACAACATTGCTGCTTCTTGAGAAAAGCAGCTTTTTAAAATTAAATCATCCGAAATCTTACAAAACAACAAATCTCAGAAAATTTCTGTGTTCTCACCCTCTGGAATCGTGCAAGTTTTCAGCATTTTCACATAAGCGATTGTCTGGTTTCAGTATCCTTGTGCAAGATGTATTAACCTTTCTAATTTTAAAAAAATTGAATGTGGGGAATCGGTGTGTCTCCTGGCAACCATGTGTGCTGTGTTATTGACCCCTGGTATAGAAATAAATAAATAAATAAAGGTACACATTGTCAGCACACATGCCTATTTTAATGACACGTGCATTTTTTTCACATGTGCAAGAGATTGCACAAGGTGCAAGGCTGTGAAGAAATACTGCATTTGCCAGTGGGAACTTACATTACACACCATAATTAAGGAGAAGTCTGACTGAGTGAATTGCAAGCCTGCAAAGAAAATTACTATTATCTTCCTTGGTTGAAAGAGTCAAGGAAGCAATACCATTTGAAGCGCTAGGTCATTTAAAGTTTTGTGGTTAAACCATACATTCCATGATGGAATAAGAAGGAAGTGAGGAATGGGTCAAGCTGAAAAAAGAAAAGAGAAATAGAGACAGAGTTCAACTTTCAATTAACTACTAAAGTTCAGGCTAAGTGCCTCTCACAATTGCTTGGCAAACTTCAGGCTTTCTTTAGATATGATTTTCATAATAAAACTTCAGAAAAGGAGCTAAGTGATAATTGGACCATTACATCTCCACTAATTTTTGAACGTGCCTCTTCAGTTATGCCTTTTTATCTGCAGAAAACCTCAAGTCAAGATGTTCACCTCAAAGAAAACCTAAGAAAAAAAATGAGGAACAATAATAGAACAGGTGTATACTCTGTCAAAGTATACACCTGTTCTATTATTGTTCCTCAGTTTTACACATCATGTTCAACCATAAAGCAGTTTGAGTTTGGTTTAGAATGTTGTGCTAATCCAGTCATTGTAGTTTATAAACTATGCTTTATGGTAGTTTTTTTCAAACTTGGCAACTTTAAGATGTGTGGACTTCAGCTACCAGAATTCTCCAGCCAGCAAGTTGCCAAGCTTGAAAAACACTGCATTATGGCAATGTATATTAGTAAACCCAGCCAATTATGATTTATTCAATAAATCACACTTGAGCAAATCATGACATAGCACAGTGGTGGCAAACCTTTTGGACTCGGCGTGTCAAAAATTTGGAAAATGCCTAACTTGACTCTGCTGGTGTGTGTGTGTGTGTCTCTCTCTCTCTCTCTCTCACACACACACACACAAAGAAAAGAGAAGCAATTCTTTACATATTCAT